GGGGGGGATGCTGTTGTAAGTTGAAGCAACAGCAACGACTACTGTTTGTCTGTTAATGCTGAATGGAAACTGAAGTGAACACGTTGTTAGGCTCCTCTGTGTGTGTCTGTGTGTGGGTATACGGAGCTGCATACTTGTTCCCTTTTTTAATTGCTTTTTCTCAACAGGGAGCCCCTTTTTGCATCGTTCATACTGCTCCTGTTGCTACTGCTGGTCTTGTTGTCGTTGATGTTGTTGTTGTTGTTGTTATTATTGTTGTTGTTGTTGGTGTTTATTCCCTCTTTTTTTCTTGCTTCTGTCTTTCTGTATAGTTGGGTTACAATAAAAAATAAAGCGAATTTTATGCTTGCTAACCAAATGAGGAAAAAATATTGGTTTTACTGCTGTAAGCTTTGAATGAATAATTCTTTAGCAACAAAAAGCAAAATGCACTGATAGAGTTGAAGTTAACTTGTTGTATATGGAACTTAAGTTGTTTAATCAAGTCTAGCGCTCTCTAAATCTGAACCTGCCATTTATGGCCATTTGGATACGTTGTAGCTAACATTTTTCAACTTCGTTTTTTCCTTCAGACTTGATTATCATTGAATTTTTCTTTCAGTGTATTGCCGGTTTTGTTTTGCTACTTTTCTGAAGAGTGAGGGAAGGTAGGGAAATTCTGATGATGCGATTCAGTTTAATAGGCGTTAAATTCTAGTTATTTTTTCTATACCTTTTTTTTCTTTCTTATTAAGAGAATGAACCTTAACACCAAATAAAATTATTCTACTTTAGTTTGTCATCGTCTTTTTTTCTTTTTTCTTTTTTTTTTTCTGATGAAAGGCGGGGAAGGGTTAAAATACTGGTATTTCTATAGCTTTTACTGTATCTGCATATCTTTACCTTGAGTTTTTCAAAAGGAAAAAAAAGTTACGGATTCAAAATGATTTGGAGGTCATTGAAAAAGAAAAGGACTTTTTTCGATTTATTTATTCACTTCAGCATTTTTCTCAAAAACTTCATTATATGCTTTTTACATTTAGTTTTTTCTCCTCTTTTTTTTTTCCAGTTCTTGATTGCTGCTTTTGGAGCAGGAGGAAAGAAAGAAAGAGAAAAGAACGATTTAGCTTCTTTTTTTTATTTTTTTGCGCTAAGGCGGCGAAATTGATGTTATGAATGGCAGCAATAGGGGCAGAAATTTGTTAGAAGACATGTTGATTGGGTTGTAGGTTTAAACCATCATGCCTTGTTCTTCTTATCTGCATCAGTGTTTGGTAAAAGTCAAATTTTGGGCCTCTGATGCAACGCGAATGTCAAAGTCTGCTTGTTGGGTAAAATTTTTTTAATAGAATTCTTAGCTGAAGTTGCAATTCGTTACCAGAAAAAAAGAAAGGCGTATTTTTTTTTTTAAATTAAATGCTAATGATATTGAATTTTTTGCATAGCTTATTTGGTTATGGTATTGTTGTTGTCATCGTTATCTTTAAACTTTATCGTTATTTTGCAACTGTATTAGTTGTTTAAAGTGGGGTAG